CAGCTGGCCCCTCCCCGCGCTCCCCTCCACTCCCTGGCCGCCCAGCGTCAGGCTCACAGCGCGGGGCAGCACCCTCTTGCCCGGCAGCTTTCCATTTGGACTAGTGGACACTGGCGGGCCGGGTGTGGGGCCTAAGGGGCTCACCTTGTCCCCTGCTCGCCAGTGAGCCCTGTCGTCGCTCCAGAGCCTGAGCCGGTCTTGGCAGCTGTGCGCTGGGTGGCACGGCAGGCTGTGACTGTGGCCAAGTTTTGCTCTCCGTGGCGCTGCCAGCAGCGAGTGGGCACCAGGGCCCCGGCCCCCGTGGCACAGGGCTGCGTGCCTGGGCTGTCGTGAAGAGGACGGCAGAGCAGCCAGGTCCGGGACTTTGCTGCCTCCCGGATCCGTGTCTCCACTGGGGGGCTTGTTGCAAGCGGGGGGGGCGGGGGGGGCAGGTGCTGACAGCGGTAGTGGGGAGACCCGGCGGCCTGGGAAAGCGCCGCCGGCCTGTCACAGCTGGCCGAGAGCGGTCTGGAGCTAGGGCAGAGCCAGCCCGCAGCAGGGGGCCACGAGTGAGGACAGCGGGTCGATGGCGGAAGGGCCCTGCCCGCAATAAGTTTGCGGATGAAGGCGGAGGGCCGCCCCGATGGTGGGTGCAGGACGAGCCGTGCTGCTTGCCCGGCTCGTGGTACGTGGGAAGTGAAGGTGTTTCTGGTTTTTCCTATCAAGCTAGTAGCAGAAGAGTCTTGCTGAGGAGCCCTCCAGGATGGGCGGCGGCCCAAGCGGGCAGGAGCCCCTCGCCCTCAGGGCAGCAGTGCCGGTTCTAAGATTTATCTGAAGATTGGGCACCCGCCTTTGCTATCTGGCCATGGGGTAGGACTACCCCCCCCAAGTCTGGGCTGACCCCAGTCACGCTCTACAGTGGCACTGGGAAGGCGCTGTCTTGGTGCAGGGCGGGGGGGGCTCTCGGCGCTCTTGCCCGGCCCCCAGAACTCTGCAAGCCCTGAGTGGCCGCAGGTGGAGCCCTGGGCTCCTGAGCTCAGAGGAGTGAGGGGACCTTGGCCCGTGGCGCTGCCGAGTGCAGCCTCCAGCCAGCTGGTCTCCCCTCACTGAGAACGGAAGCCGCCCCCAGAGCAGCCCACCGCTAGCGGGTGCGCACCTAGGGCTCTTGGAAGCCGCTGCGTTTTCAGGTAGCTCGCTCTGCAGTGGGCCAGCGGGGGGCGGGGGCACCCGGCTTCTACCGGGTCCTGCGAGGCAGCACACGGTTGCCACGGGGCTCGGCCTGCTGGGCGGAGAGGGGCCGAGTGAGGTGGCAGCCGGCATATGCGAAGAGGGTCAGGTGCGCACGGCAGGACGGGTGGGGCCGCACGAAACCAGCTACCAGCTACAGCCAGGTGGGAGATCTGCCCCACATGCCCAGAGAGCAGGAATGCACGTGGCGCCTGACACGTGCCCTGGCAGCGTGGGCAGAAGGGCCCAAAGCTGGGCACACCAGTGTGGCCGGCTCGGTCCCCGTACGGGAGCACAGGCCGGGCAGGACTGCCGGCTGCAGGGCCGAGATGCCCGTCAAGAGGCAGCCAGGTGGGGGAGCAGTGGCCCCTCCAGGCGACAAGGCGCCTCAGCATGCCCGCAGGACTCGAGCTCTGTGGCGCCACTCGGTGGGGATCAGGCTGGCTGGGCCTTGTGGTGGGCAGGGAGGGAGCCGATAGGTGGAGCACGGGCAGTTTTTAGGGCAGAGAAAATGCCCGGGTCAGCTGTCACCATGGACACTGCCCGGTGGCAGGGAGCGAGCCCCAGCTTAGGAGGTGTGGGTCTGCAAGGCTGTGCCCGTGGGCTCAGTGCCACTAGTGGGCGCCAGCGACGAGTGACACTGAAGCAGGATGGTTGCTCGGGCCTCTGGCTCCGAGCTGTTTCGGCTCAGTTGCCGGCGGCCTTTCTGACTCAGGGACCCTGCAACGGCTGGGGCCCCCCATCTTCTTTTCCCCGTGCTTGGCCACAGTGGGGTCGCGGGGCCAGCCCCACCTGCCGGCAGTGCCTGTGCTCGCCCGCCCGCCGCTGGGCCGGTCCCGGCATTTACAAGATTCATGAAAACCCGCAGGCTGTGCAGCCGCGTGCACCACCGGGCTGAGGCCGAGACGCCAACTGCGGGCTTCGGTAGTGACGTCCCGCGAACGAGCGCCGCCGCTGGCAGAGGGGCGGACGGGGCGCCGGCACACGTGCCAGGGACGCGGCTCCCGAAAAGCCCCGGGGGAAGTCAGGCCGCCGGCGGGGACGACACCTCGGCGCCGGGGGCGG